CCATGTCTGAAAAATGCCATGTTCGATGAAAACCTGCCTCCAAAATAACCTTATCCCCACTGCCAAGCACGGTGACAGGTGTGTCGTGGGTTTGGGGCTGCTTTTCTGCCTGACAAGACCTGGGTGACTTGCCATCATTAAAGGAATTATGAATCCAGAGTCATACCAAAATATTCTGGAGGAGAACGTCGGGCTCTCTGTCTGTGAGTTAAGGTTTGGCTGAAAACAGGGTCCTCCAGCACGACAATGACCCAAAACATTCCAGAATCTACCAAAGAATGGATTAAGAGGAACAAAAAGTTGTGTTTTGCAATGGTTGCAATGGCCAAGTCAAAGGAATGTCCATATAAATGTTGTAGCAAGGCCTGAAGTTCTTCATGCAAGACAGACAACAACTCTGGAGCAGTTAAAGCAGTTTTGTTAGGAAGAATAGGTTAAAGTTATATATATAATTATATAATGAGACACAACCATTTTCTGCTATGTATATGCTAGTTTTCCACTATGTTGTAGGAAGTTGCTTTTGAAATAAACTAGAGCAGGATTATGTCTCAACAGCTGTGGGCGTAGGTGTATGACTTCTATGCATCTATGTATGTTCTACTGTATTGTAATGTTCGTGCTACAATATATAAACCGTGGGATATAATTCCTATCAATCTGCCCAATATTTTATCTACACCCTCTACAAGGTGATGTAAAGGTGGAGTATGTCTTCATAGACTCAAGAAAGTAATTGTGTCTGTGCACAACCAATAATCCAGATGTTATGCTGAATGAAAGTTGTCTTGGAAATTATAGCGTTTGGATATGCAGTATTGCATTATTTTGGATGACATTACAATTTTTATCAGAAGGCATTCTCCTGGTTTGGACCAAACAGTTTTTGTAAGATATTCTTACTTACTTAGCCACTTGGTGTTTATACCCTTAAAGACATTAGCTCATTCTATGCCTCCTTGCACCTTTGGCAACACAATGTCTCCACTTGCCTCTCCTTCATTACCTCCTCCCAAGTTCCTTTATGTCATTCCTGTCACTGTCCACCCAATTTTTCTGTCATTAGCCAAGTCTCCACTCCAATCGCAGCAGTCTAGTAGTGAAGTCAAGACAAGAGCTTCATATAATTAATCCTGTTTTTGCTTTTTTTTCTCCTGCCTTCCACATTTCATCATCGTCTCTGATACAGTGTGTGGACTGGCAGTGTGCGTTGCTCCTGAGTCTGGGGGGTTCTAGGTATTATTATTAATAATAAAATCGTAATAATACGATGGTTACAGCTAAAAGGTGTTCAGAAAATAGTAATTTTCGTTGCGAGGTTTGCCTGTATGAACTGGCTGTCCTTGTACATGAGAATGTTATCTATGCGGTGAAATGGTTTATTTTTTACACTAGAGGGCGAAAGAAACACCAATTCACCATGTTATGAAACAGCTAAGTCACTTTTTACAGAAACTACAAGATGCGCAAATCTTAGCGGTAGAAAGAATATTAACATGACAGAAATGGGTTGTATATTTTGTGAAGAAATATAAGAGCATTGATGTTTTATTCTTAAATATTTTCAATTCTTGATGTTTTCATTATTAATGTTCTAAAAATATACCGGGCATTAAATAATATGTAGCCTTTGTGATTTGAAGACCGCAGTGTTTATCTTATCCGTATTTTCATATATGTAAGGTAAATACCTGTTTCTCTGAGCTCCGTGAAGTAGCCCCCCCATACGGAGCACAAACGATAAAACCCAACTCATTCGTTGTGTGCTGTGTCTGTGCCGGTTTGTGCAGTTAAAAGAAGCGTTTTTATTTTCACATAACAGAAGTGAACATATATCTGAATTATTTAATAAACTGTCATTATCCGTGTTTGTATTTACAGGGGTCTTGTAAAGCGATGAGCTCACAGTCCTTGGTGTAGAATACAGCGTGAGGACACACCTGCGCTCTGAAGACACAGGTGTGGGCGCCTGTGTTAGATCCTCAGGTGAAGTCGAGTCTTCTGCAGTCTGCAATGTCATGACCCAGACATGTTTGCTTGTCCTCCTCCATGAAGTTGTCCACCCGCCCGTCGAACAGCACAAACGACGAAACTCACCGCAATCGCTTGTGCCGGTTTGTGTCGCTGTCAGTAGCGTTTGTGCTGCTTTCGTTTCCGAGATATAGCGCCTTGTTTTTTTCGGGTAATCGTGTGACTATCTACAGGGAAGTTTACGGGTACCAGCAAACTCGGTACTTGAACTCCTGATTGTGATGAAAACAGTGGGGCAATTTGTTTTCCGAGTCTGTCTGGTCGGGTGTGGTGTATTTTTCAATATATTTCAATATAACGCCTTCTTTTCCTGGCTGTGACGTCACTCTGTGACGTCCAAGACAGTAAAATCACGACCACCAGGTCTTTCAGTTGTGATCTTTTGATCAGTTAATCCCAAGCTTTGCAGCCTTTACACAAATTAACAGTCTTTCATTTAGGGAGGAGTTACTATGTTAGTTCATTGGGTTAGGTGTTTTAATTTTTAACCATTTTCTCGAAAATGTATTGCTTGTGGACACCAGTTTCCAAATTACCGCTGGTACAACACAAGAGCCCATATTCACATTTTTAGGTATTAGTTTCAAGATCGATGTAATTTAACAAAAACAAAATTGAAAGCACGAGAATAATAATATAATGATCATAGACTTTACATTTATATTCATTTTGAAGTACAAAGCAGGAGGTATTTCCCCTACCTTAAATAAACGATTAAAATTGTTCAAATACCATGTATTCATTACAGGAAGAAGCGGAGACAGTTATATTGCAAATACATATGTATTTATTTCGAAGAGTACGGGAAATTGTGAATCAATAAAGACGTTAAAAAATAAGCCGACGTAGTTATTTTGCAAATAAGTAAAGCATTTTAAAAATAGATTCTCATTGACAGTAAACAAGACGATCCACCTGGCGCTGCTGGCTTGAACAGCTCTCAGGCCCGTGATTGGCTAAACCCCCCCCCCCGAACAGCTCGGGCCGCGATTGGGTGAAGAGTGAGAATCGGCACTCTGATTGGGTAAAGCGCCACAGCGGAAGTGTACCGTGTGTGCTGTATGAGCACGCTGGATATACAGTAACACATCCATTGGTTTCTAATTACTGATCCATCTAAGAGAAGTCGCACTGAGGTCAAAACTTAATAGCAGATAAAGAATATCATGGCATCCACAGTTTGTTCGCGACTCCGATAGCATGTCACGATAGGAGTGCGCGCATCACGATCACATCCTAATACCCATTGCGACTGGCGCATCACTGGTATGGCGCCACTGTTGCAACATTAAGTCCATATATCGCGATATGACATACCCCGACAAAACTCCCCCGCCCCCCTTGTCGCGACATGGAGCCCGCATATCGCGATATGAGATACCCTGGCAAAAATGCCCCGCCCCATGTCGCGATATGAAAGGTCCCATATC